CATGGATGACATTTAATCTCAATTTGGAATTGTTTGTCGAATGTTCAAGTAACCGGTCTGGTTATCAAAGTAAGCTCACTAGATTCAGTTTGTTTTCAGAGCCCTTTCTGCCAACATGCTTTCCCTTGTGTTGGATCTGCTCCTGTACTCGATGCTTCTGACTTCATCGCTAAATGCATGAAGACCTTTTTGCATTTCAGCCAGAATGGGACCGAATAGCCGAAACCAGAAACATGTCTATCTGGAAATCAGGCGTGGTCAAGTTCATCTTATACTGATGGCGTATTACTGATTAGACTATTTCTGTCTCTTGGTTTCCTACATCTGCCAGCATGAAGGTCATACGAGTTTTTGTCCGATCCTGGGGTTCCAGTGCTCGCGGGAGGCTCCCTGAATGGTGCACGGAGTGTAAGGACTTGTTTTACATGCTCGGAGTTCCGTTTCTCTGCTGAAAACTGCGGTGGGTTCCACACTGCAGACTTCTCTGATACGTGCGGACGAGCGATGAGTCTGGATAACACCGCAGGACATTGGGAGAGGCTCATACGCCATGCTCTACCTGAAAAGTTGATCGGATTTGATGAAAGATTCGCGTTCTCACCTCCAAAAATTATTATTTAATTAATTTATTAAATCTTTCTGGCGATGGCATCGAGTGATCGCATGAGAGTGCCGTCGAGGAAATCGAAGAGACGAGCTCGAGACCAGGAACGTGAAGGCTGAGCAAGTGAGATCGACGGCACGGCCGCAACATGTTGCGCCACGTGGCGAGATGAGAGAGCAGCGGATCGATCGAATCGGAGCGTTCTGCGGCCAACGAATTGCGGCCGATCCGCCGGCACACTTGCATTCACAAGGGACAACGGGTGGAGAAACCGACCTGGCAGTGTGTCCCTCACGCCTCGTCAGCACAGCCGCTGCGTGGGATTTCTGGCCGGATCAGGTCGACGTTCTTCGTTCTGCATGCGAAGCGAGCGCATGCAGACGTACGTGCTCAGACCCGAGTTTCACACCCTTGCGACCAGTCCAACTCCAACTCCAGTCCAACTCCCACAATCACTGAAAGCTTTCGACCCGAGAGGCTGTACATTTTTGTAATCGTTGAGAGTTGGGATTCAGTTCAATGTCTAGTTAAAAGTTTTAATGGAAGATTATCAGCCGAAGAGTTGTAAGTGGTGGCCGCAGATGTCGAGGCCCATCATGAGATGGAATACTTGTGTCAAGGGTAAACGGCGGCTGAGAAACGATGTTCGTAACCGTGACGGTGACACCAAAGCCTAGGCCAAAAAGGCCCGCAGGTGTTCTTGGAATTTATTTATGGTATTTAAGTACCTGTCGGAAATCTAGTATACTTAGACATTTTCCGGCCCCGCAATTCTGGAAGCATCACTTGCGAGTTGCGGAGTTATGGGATCGAATCACAAGATAATTGATCACAAACGTCTTTGCGTGTCATGTTTGTCCTATTCCTTCGTGGTCTTCTCATCCCTTCTATATCCTTGTGGTCACACTTATATCCCTGTCGAGGGCTCCACTTTCTATTTTTCTCTCCAGAGGCTGTATGTCTGAATAGAACAGTCCTTAATATTTACTGCCTGAACATGACTCAAAAGTTCCGATAAATACCTTCTGACAGTACAGAATTGAGCGAAAGGTCATAACTCACTTCAAGCAATTTTATCCACTCCGATTGAGTCTACGTGACCCCAATTGGCCAGAGAAAAACACGTACGTGACTTGAAGCTAGATATTTGTTGACAATTTAGGAACTGCTCTTACACTGCTAACCATCAACTTCATTTGTTCATTTGAACAATGCTAAGTATCGGCGAGCATGACTGGCCGCACGTGAAACCTCGTATCACCAATCCGCATGCATTTGCGGGAACAGCTACGTCAGGTTTTTTTTAAAAAGTGTTAGAGGGTTTGATTTAATCTTTTTGTCTTTGTGTATGATAGATACGTTCCCACCTGTGTCTGTTTTCAGTCTTTTTTTGAAAACGTTGTGCATGTCCTAAAACGAGAAAATATTTTGGATTTCCTTATTCTAACAGACTAATATTTAAAGGTCAAAGTAAAATGAAGAAAAATGAAAGAGATTATCGATCAAATGCTCTTCTGACTAAACGCTGGAATTGATAGTCATACTGAAGAACTAAATCACAGACTCTTACAATAAAGTAAGAGTCTGGCATTATTCCAGTGGTAATTTTCAAATATTGGTGATCAATTTTTTCATAAGAATTTATGTTCCCTGCAGGACTTTTAAACATATCTCCAAGATATAAGTAGAATTTTAGGGTACTTCCCCTGTACATATCTAAAACTGTAGTGTTTACTTTCGGAAAAAATGAATGAGGTTACGAGGTATCCTCACAGGTTTTATTCATGGTTAGAATCTACAAGCCTTTCCGACCAATAACTTTTGTACGTAATATTTTTTTACACAAACTTCTCAAGATTTGTGTATCCCCTTGATTTATAATGAGTAGTTTATATTGTTCGTATGTTTTATGAAACTTTGACAGTGCACTGTCAGGTGGATATAGCTATAGCACTCTAAGCAAGGTCTACAGAATAAAGTTATGTCTCATAATGGTCTTCCTGTTTCATATAAAGATAACATCATGTTCAATCCCAATTATACAAGAAAACGGGGAGCTTGTGACTAACTAAAAATTGATTTGAAGACACATCAATCCCTACAAGGATTCATCCAACAAGGATGAATCAGGTAACGGGTCTAGGCCCCAATTGTACCAAAGTATTCACAATGCCGTATCCTTTACAGGATACAAATTAAAGATTAAAATTGAATATAATGGCCAGTAAAGTAGAGCAATATTCGATCAATCATTTTCTTCACATTGCAGTCAAAATTATTTCGCCATCTAGCGTCAGCACTCGGACAAAAAACGGCTCATATTTCTTTGTGCTTTCAGACAAAGTAACTAGCCAGTCGGCGGATAGGTCGGATGTTATTTCATTGGCATAGAAGAGAAAAATATTCACAAAGTAAGTTACGTGTATTCTACACTCTGGGATGGATGCGCGATTGTTTCTTCGACGAAACTGGCAAGAAATGCCAGCGTTTGTGCTAACAGTATCATCGGAGGCGTTGGAAGCTGCTCGAACTACAGTCAAACTGACTCTATGGTTAGACAGATCCCCAATGACAATCTGGTATGCAAAGTCGGGGTCCAGGTTCTGTTTCTGACAATGTGGGTAAAGTCCACGAAAGCCTCAGGACAATAACAAGCGGAGCGATGGAAGTCTCGAGCAGATTGCAATGAGTAGAGCTTCCAAATATAGCGAGCTTCGACGAAACGTGGAAAAGAAAGCATCGAATGAACTGCAGACGCGCACTTCAATCAGGCTCGCGTTCAGGATGACTTCTGCTGTAGATTGCTGTGCTTGGAGTTTTCTCAGTGGTTTCGTGAGACGCAATCCCTTGACATATCACATCATGCAAACGGGAGACTGGAGAGGGCAGCTGGACATCCGACTCTTCCAGTGTCTGCCTCATGTAGTCAATTGAGTCAGCGTGATAACTTCGTTATCTCCATCTCACATAGTCAAACACCGGTCAAGTCAGAAAACCCGACTTCCAGTAGTCCTGCGATGACGTGCACACTGATCTGAGTATCTGAGGAATCCAGCGAGTATCGATACCGTTCGTTCGCAGGGTCGTCTCCACAGTTTCCAACGGATTCGAAGTCTGAGACGAAAAAGAACTGGAGAGATTGGAGCAAGAAGATGTCTATTTTTACGTCAGATACCCGAGATCTTTATAGATTCCTTCTGATTTATGAGTCGAGAGCAGTGCCCGGGCGATATCCATGCGTCTTCCTTCCACAGCAATGTTCCAAGAGCTTAGGCGGGTCTCTAGTAAAACAAACCATCCACAGTCTCCTGCCCCGCATATTTGTCGTCTGATATCCTTGAACCCGACGAATCCGCGCCTGGCAAGCACAGCGGAATCAGAGAGAGCGAAATATGAGTAGAGGTTGACTTACTGGGAATTTTGGTCGAGTTTCGTGTGAGATAAACTAATAGCAAACCTCACAGTCCTGCATCCGAATCTGGAAGCAGGGAGATTCCTTTCGACGATCCTAAGACCCCCGTAGCCCCAGTGCACCAGTATGAAGGGAACCAAATACGTCGTCAGCTAATCCCGCTGATTGGCTGTCGTGGTGTGCGATAAACGTCGAAAAGCCCACAGCCGGCCGGCCGGTGAGGTTCCGGGTTTTTGACAATTAAGGCCACGCTTTTGCTGAACGCTTGCCTGGCTATGAGAACGGGCAACAGCAGAAGGTAGGTGCCGACACTTTGGCTACTTTTTGTCATACGCGAACTCAAACTTGATGAAATCCGGGAATAATCCGACGACGAAACCAATCAGGGACGCTTAGCATAACAGGGAAGCGTTGGTGCTGAACTAGTGGCTTGCCATGCCGTTGGATCGCATCATTGTGGATGCATGAATGAATGTAAGTGAGTGAGTAATCACAAGTAGATTCCGCGTCAATCAATCCTCTTCCGGCAACTTGTCGAAGTCCGCAGAGGTCAAGCTAGCCTCGGTCTCGGGTGGAAGAATTTTGTCTGTTCATCGGGAGCTGTTCCGGCCCCGAAACTTGGATGGCAGGATCGGCAACTTGTCTCATTATGTTGTGCACTGTGCTCATAAACCGCACAGAGAGACTCAAATTATTCTCTTTCTCCCATGATTTGATCACGCTATCTGAAAGGGACCTTGAACAACCCATTCCGGCACACAGTTGGGTTTCGTCCTACTAGGAAATTGCTCTGAGAATATGGCCAACTGTGGAGTTGGATCGCTGAATACGATGGAGAGATGATATAGACTTGCTGACCACCACCTGAAGACGTCAAGTCCATGGACCGCATCAAATCGTCTGCCGCAGGCCCAGAATCCTCTTCCTGCTCCCTTTCGAGTACTTAAGCAAGCTCAGTCGATATAGAAGATGAGGTTTGAGAACCCCCACTCAAACTTCCCTTCTCGCAAGCTTGATCAGAGTGAAGGAGAAGTGTTCCAGTACGTTGTTCAGAATCGGAGTCCAATCACTCTTGTTCACGATTGAATCGACCGTGTGAGCCGGACCTGAGGTCACGATTTCACAATCACTCTCGATCAGTTTCACCTGTTTTCCCGATTCTTTCATGTCCCGTTTCCATGATGAGAGAGGATGGTGGACGACTGGAATTCCCGTTGCTGAACGGAGGTAATGCATCATCGTCGCCGCCGAGGCTTGGGATCAGCAGAGCTCTCTGTGAGGTCAGCAACGGTGGAGATCGGGATCCTGAGGATAGACTCCCTGATCGTGTCCCGGAGAGCGCAGAGCCGGAAACAACTTCCGGTCGATTTTACGACAGTGACGTTCAAACGCATCTCCGCAATGCGGCGGGGGGAATCGCAGAATGGGTCACGAAGTGCATACAGAATTTCACTATGTTCCCGACCTACGTGGAGGAAGACAGGAATGCGAACGCGATAAAACGCGATAAATATTACAGCTACGCCTTTCTCTTCTTGGCCATGACCGTCGTGGTGGGGATTTACATCTTCCAGCAGCGTGCAGAGGTGGCGTTTACGGAGAGGACGAACGACCCCGTACCCCACCATCCCGCGCTGACGTGTGGCTGCTCCACCGCCGGTCAGGACACAGGGCTGTTGAGGTCGTGCTACCAGATCAAGAGCCCGGCAATCGAGACGGTCACCATCGTCTCGTTCCCGAACTTCACGTCGCCGGATCTTCCCAACATTACGTACGGTGGTGACCTGAGGTACTCGCGAGGAGGCTCGTCGGTCCAGCTCGTGTACAAAACTATAAACGACGCGTATCTCGATTCCAACACGCTGACAGAGTTCAATCTCTGGATCGAGGACAAGAAGATGTTGTCACCGCTGTACCACGACTACTATCGGTACTTCGAAGATATGGAAACGGTGGATTACAACATCGACCACATTCTCGACAACACCACGCTGTTCGAATTCCCCTCGTACTTCATGTTTATGATGGTGCAATTCCATTGCACGAAGTTCTCTGCGTGCAGCCCGGCCGTGATTTTGTTCTACATGGGCGACCCGAAGCTCCGAAGCCACGACAGTCGTTTGCCCGGGAGCTCGATGGCAGAAAGCGAGCAGCTGCTGGCAAACTCGACGGCGTATGTGGGCAACGAGTGGCTGACCTGCGGTGGCTATGATGGCAACAGCGAATGGGATCCTTTGAACAACTTCTACCGCGGCAGGTGTATGATATATCCCACGTATCCCACCATGTCTGCCAGAGTGAAAAAGCTCCTGTACTACTTAAGGTCCTTGAGTCTGCGGGGAGACCTGAGCAATCTGGCGGGCTACTTCAACAGATCGAACGTCGTCACCTTCGTGTCGCGCATGGAGCAGGTCAATCAGAGCATTGTCATTGACAATGTGCCCATGGTGATGGGGTATCTCGAGGTGGAGCCTGGGACGGCCCAGTGGTTGAGGATGGCTGACGAGTATCCGGGAGTGAGGTTCGAGTGCTCCGCGCCTAGTGGAACCAACTCTCGTGCCTGGACCGAGGTGTGCAATGCTTCGTCCATTTGCCTCTCGTATAAGACGGCTGCGGAGGTGGGATTCTCGAGCGTGAAGATGACGTGCATGGACTTCGACCGCTACAACTACACCAATTGCGTGTTGCTCGCCAACAGCACGGGCAACTTCGATCGGGTCGACGAGCTGTGCAATCCTGCAGCGAACTGCCAATGCGTGCCCTCGAGGAAGGTGAAGAGGCAAGTGGTGTCGGAGACCGCCCTCAACCAAATGAACGTGAAGGTGGTGAAGAACGAGATCGACACCAGTTCCAAGCTTGCAGTTTGCCGGAACGTGTACGCGAAGGTGGTGAGATACTATAGCCAGAGTCTGAATCGAGACGTGTTCTTGGAGACTAATTGCTCGCAGGCCGCAGGGGTGTGTACCATCACAGGAAAATACAATTTGCTCGAAGATGAAGCTGGGGCTGCTCCTCGAAAACTGGACGACAAGGAGGTCCAGGCCGCTGCCCACGACGCGATGCCGTTCGTCTGTTCCGGGTACAAGAGGCAGAGTTGGCTCGACTGGGCGGTACAAACATATGGTGTGATTCCAGGCTGGCTGATGACCTTGTACACTATCGCCAATTTGTTTTACTCGAACTTCTTCGTTCCAGCCACTGGGCACGTCGTTGCTACCTATACACCGAGTGAATCTTCTTCGGAAGATGAAGCCGGAGAACAGGACGGGAGCCAGCGAGGGCAATTGGAGGTTAGTGTGCAGAGTTGATGGTGAGAAAGTTCCCATTGCGCTGACCTCAGCAACCGCACAGGTCATCCTTACAGTCACGCTGGAAAGGAGGACTTTGCTGTCTGATGATACTCGTCGATGAAACTGAAATCATTGCAAAATAGAAATGTTCGATTAGTTCAGTGGGACAGAGTATCGATCAGCAAATGTTTGAAACAAGACAGCCAACTTCCATGTACTGGGTAGTCGGGTTGCACTACTCGTACCTGGTATACACCAGCTGCTGGTGGCTATTCATCGACTGAAAGTTCTTCGGAAGACGAAGACAGAAGCCAAGACGGGAGCCAGCTAACGGACTCGGGGGATGGTGGGCAAGGAGTACTTTCCAATCGCACTGGTCGCTCAGGTCAACGACGTGGTCACACTGGAAAGGATGAGTTAGCTATTTTTGGATGCGTTTCCACTACTCTGATGATCGTGGACGAAGAGATTCCTATGAGTACAAGAACTGCAGAGGTCATGAAGATATCTCAGTACTTCAGTAGGGAGAGAGTATGGATTCGCATCTGCTAGAAACAAGACAGCCAGTGTCCATGTACTGCAGAAGACGAAAATGGAGGAGAAGACAGGAACCAGTGATCGGACTTGGAGAATGGTGGACAAGGTTGATTTCGGGGACTTTCCAATGGCACTGGTTGCTCAAGACAGCGAACTGATAATCCGGGAAATGCAGACATCGCTGTTTGAGGATGGGTTTCCACTACTCTTGTGATCGTGGACGAGGAGACTTCTATGAGTACAAGAAATGCAGAGGTCAAGGAAATATCTCAGTACTTCAGTAGGGAGAGAGTATGGATTCGCATCTGTTAGAAAGAAGACAGCCAACGTCCATGTACTGGGTCGTTGGGATGACTACCAGTGCCTGGTTCATACCATCCTCTGGTAGCTATCCATTGACTCAAAACTCTGCGCAAGAAAAAGAGAAAAAGAAGACAAGACGGGAACCTGGTGGGATGGGGGAGAAGGTTGATTTTGAGAAGTTTCCAATCACAGTGGTTGCTCTGGTCAACGACATGGCCACAAGGGTAAGGAAGATGTAGCTGTTTTTGGGATGGGTTTCCACTACTCCGATGATCCTCATGGTCCTGGACGAGGAGATTTCTATAGCACAAGAAATGCAGAGGGACTTCTGCAGCGAGAGAGTGTGGAATTACAAATGTTAGAAACAAGACAGCTAACAAACTCTAAATTCAACCTTACTGTGGAGTTAAATAATAGAAGTGCATCATCCCCATACAGTAGATATAAAATGATATTAGATATTTCCTGTTGTGATGATATTGGGACCCACCCCTCCAAAAGGAAGAAACCATGGATGGTTTCTTCCTTTTGCCATATTGCCATATATTGCTTTTGCCAGTCTTCCTATTGAAGATGTACAATACAGCAAAAGGAAGACTCCATCCATGGGGGGATGGGTCCTAGTATCATCACAACGGGAAATTTCTTATATCATCTTATATCTTCGGTGCTCTACCGCACCTTGCTCGTTAACTTGTGTTCTTGGACAAGCTCTATGAATAATACAAATGTCTGAAAAGGGGTGTTCGTTGAGGTCCAGCCCGTGTCCTGAGCTAATGTTTGATGGATGCATGATGCTCATAACTCAATCACAGTTTCCCCTAAAAGTGTTTATTGCGTTTGCCATATGTATGAAAGATAGATAAAATGACACGAGATGCAGAACGCTCATGACATTGACATATTCATCGTAAACAAATTCTTCTCGATTATCCAGAACAGATGATTCATCTTAACTGCACGACTTACACCTTAGATGTATCCCTCGTCTTTATTAGTTCTAGTTCTTCGTGAACCCTTGAATCTGACTAACTTTCAAATCGCCTGATTGTCTAATTTTTTTCTGAACTCTTTATTGCAAATTATACTTTTGACGATATTCTTGTTCATCTACTTTTGTTTAATTTTTTCTAGAAATTAAATACGTCTATCGCCCAACAATACATTAATTATAATTTTCGTTGTGAGTGTCAAAATATTTTACTGTACTGAAGAAATTAGATGAAATCAAACTGGAATCACAGCGTATCAATACAAACACCTGCAGCTCGTCGTGGTTCACTCTTCCGCTTACCTCTTTCTCCTTTAACGATCTGCGGCTTGCCTGGGTCTTAGACAAACTTCATCGCTACTCCATTGGTTTCGGGCCTGACTCGGTTGATTCGCCAAGCTTTTTCGGCCTCTTGCGCTTCTTTCCAGCATCCACACTCTCAGTCAGCCAGCTGTACTGTTTATTCCTCCACAGGTAGCTCCTCCTTCGCAACTTTTCGAGGCCGTCCTCTCTTTCTTTGTACAGGGACAGGATTCGACGAGGTGCTCTCGAGCACCTCTTTGGGAGTCGCGATAGGCAGTTTCTTCGTCAAAACTTTAGCCCGCCCCATCTGGTGACCCACGTCAGCAACACACCACACCATGGCAATCTTAAGACCTTGGACATTACACAGCAACTCAGAAAACAAACGCAGGCACTCAATCCTGAAGTCAACCACAACGATAATGATATGCAAGCGCTCTAAAACACGAACCTGCGTGAACAGCCCACCAAATCGAAAGAATGCTAATCCCTCTGGAAAAAATTTCCTCCTCGTCCCCATATCAGCCGGACTGTAGGCACACGCTCGGAAATTCTTCGCTAGCCATTAGAAGAAGCAAAAGCACCATCGACCCAGCCACTCAAGAATTTAATAATCCCACATGAAGTTTCGACCCTCTCATCAACCAACCAGTCAAGGTTTAACATGTTATATCGAGTTTTTCCCTCAAGATAACTCGTGATAGAATCCTACAAATGTTGTGCAGAAAATGTGCATCTAAATCCTTTGATTTACGCTTATTTATAAGGAGACCGTTTCTTTTGCAAAAATCAACGTAGATCTGAAATTTTAATGCACAATTACAAATAATTGTATATGAATTCAATAAAGATCATAAATTCATCTTAATGGAGAGCATTTCTAGGCGGACAGGATAATGCATAGATCATGTACAAACTCTTAGAATTCAAAAGCATGAAAAATAAGAGTATGGAGATTTCAGAAGCGATGAGTCATCTCTTTCACAAATCTCCAGAGCCTGATGCTCATTTCTGATGTCTTTGCACAATACATGTATAAGCACAAAAGATACATGAGGCTCCTTGAATTTTACACAAATCTTGAGCATCTTAAACCTCAAATTGAATACATGCCTCACAAAGAAACATTATGTACCTCCACAATGAGCAAGAAATATGAGTGATCCTTTTAGAACATTGTAATTATTATGAAATTTTAAAGATATTTGTCCTTTCTTAGGTTATGTCCATTAACCTAAGAGCATAAAATGACCACCTCTTCAAAACTTTGCTTCGAATAATTTCTCATGTTTCCATTTTAAAAAGAATAAATAAAGAGAATAACAACATGAGCGTGCATACGCCATGTTCGACACATTTTCAGCTGGATGAGAAAATACTTATCACAGAATTTGAAACCTGAATATCAACATGAGGTCCGCTTCATAATCACTTGAAGAGGGTAAGTTATCCTGCTAACCTTTTGCAAAGCCGAAGATTGCATACCACGAAAATCATTAGAATCCAAAAATTTTCTCTCAACACAACCATTTGCGATTTGAACATCTTGCTGGTGTTTCATTCTCCCGGAGGAGCCTCGAACTCGATTTCTATATGTGGTAACCCACTTTTTGTTTTTCGTCGGAATTAGAACATTTTTGATTAGTAAGTACCGTGGTAGCAGCTGTAAATAGTAATCGGTACGCAAAGCCAGAGTAAAAAGAGGATCGAGGACAGTCAAGGGGTTTTGGGCTTAGGCCACAGTGGAACGCTTGGAATGGAACGGGCGGTTCACGCTGCAGGACTCGCTTCGAGCACCTTCGGCGGTAGATCACTCATAACTTCTTCAATTCTTAACGCCTTGAGTTACTTAGGGTCTCGTTGGAAAGAAGTCGACGCGTTCGTTCTAACGAGCCCAAGAAAGCCTAGAACGGATGAGGACTCAGGGAGTTGTGACTGTCGGAAGATGCGAAGGAGAACGCCTACGGATAGGCGGAAGGAGTTCGTCGTCAGCAGAATATCCACCTTCGGCCCTAGATGTTCGCCTTCGGCGACGGACGTCTTCGGGTCAACTTCAAGTCGGCAAACTCGAGGTCGGAGAACTCGAGGTCGGAAAACTTGAGGTCGGCGAACTTGAGGTCAGAGAACTTGAGGTCGGCGAACTCGAGGTCAAAGAACTTCAAGTCAGCAAACTCGGAGTCGGCAAACTTGAGGTCGGCGAACTCGAGGTCAAAGAACTTCAAGTCAGCAAACTCGAGGTCGGAAAACTTGAGGTTGGCGAACTCGAGGTCAAAGAACTTCAAGTCAGCAAACTCGGAGTGGGCAAACTTGAGGTCGGCGAACTCGAGGTCAAAGAACTTCAAGTCGGAGAACTCGAGGTCGGCGAACTTCAAGTCGGAAAACTTGAGTACAGAGAACTCAGAGTCGGCGAAACATCGTGCGGGCGCCTTCGGCGATAACAGATAACAAGCCTTCGACAGTGTGCCTTCAGCGAAGGATAAAACCGGCATAACTCTTTCAACTCGTAACGGTTTGACTCAGTTAGGGTCTCGTTAGAAAGAGCTCAACGCGCTCGTTCCAACGAGCCCAAAAACTCTTGAAACGGATCAAGGATCTGTGAGTTATGGGTGTCGGAAGTGACTGTTACAAATAGGCAAAGGTGCGGAAGTGCGTCTTCGGCGGTCAACGCCTTCGGAGAACTCGGAGTCGGCGAACTTGAGGTCGGCGAACTCGAGGTCGGCGAACTTCAAGTCGGCAAACTCGGAGTCGGAAAACCGGATGCGGTTCAGAGATCTTGCGGAGTCCATATCTTTGCGATGGACGGTCGGATGGATCTGAAATTTGGTGGGGCCGTTGATCTCAGTTGGCCACGCATGCCTGCAAATATTCAGCCTCAGATCTCGGATGTAAAGACGCTGGCGGCTCTGTACAGTAGGCTTAGGATTCCGATTTAGGGTTAGGGTTAGATTTAGGTTGTAAGTTAGAGGGGAAGGTAGCCGCCGACTCCTCAGGTGTAGGATCTGTTGCGGCTCGCACCCTAGCGGGTAGCGTAGTGTTAGTTAGGACCTTAGAGAGTATAAAGTAGTTCAAGGCGTTTTGCCCTGGGACTCTTCCAGTTTCGGAAGTGCAGATCAGGAACTCACTTTCTTGACGTGTTTGTGCATTTTGGTCCTGGCACCACGTAGAGAAGCTGCAGCATAACGAAGTTACCGTATGTTGTAGTTGAAGGCCTTCGGCTGAATGTTCAGAGCTAGTACCCGGTTAGAGACTTGAGTAGTGCGGATCTGCACCTGCGGGTGATTTCTGATGCTCAGAGCCGGCTGCGAGTTAGAGACTTGAACAGTTCCCCCTTACTCCTTCGAGTGACATATCCTGATTGTACTCCTACGGGAAGTTTCCCCTGAATGCCAATGTGAAGTTTTATTACTTCGTGTAAACCTTGGTTTGTAATTCAGGTTGTGTGTGTGTTACTGGATCGTGTTTCAGTAAGTTCTCAGTCGGGTCTGCACTCCCTGCGTTTGGTGTGATAGTCGAGGGTGACGTCCACGGCGTATGAAGAGGCTTCGTTCCGAAGTGGGAAGTCCAGTCCGGGTACCCTACGCTAGTTCCTGGCGGAAGGGCAGTAAAAGCCGGAGTGGGAGGCACTACCTGCAGAACCTCTGAGTGAACTTTTGAGACACTTTCCTCCTGAAATCCGAAGCGGAGGTCCTGACCGACCTCCGAGTTGTGCTTTTTGCCAGTTTCAGGTGTGTGTGTGTGTGTTGAGTGACCACGCTGTACCGTGCATCCTCCGAGCATCCTCCGAGTCGAGATCCTCCTCCGAGTCGAGCCTCCGAGTCGAGCACTGCAGTATTTCTGGGAGTGACAGTCGCCTAGAATTCAAACTCTACAAAAGTCTGTTAAACGTGACACTTTTACTCTGTGTGTTGCCTCTGTCCCTGTGGGTTAGATCTTTTTACCACCATACTGCAGTTTTAGCCTTTGGTGGGTTATTACACTATCAATGCTGATTCAAGATGTTTCATTAAGGATTCCCTTCGTTGTTTATGATGAGCAAAAGCTAACGACGGTCGACTCATCTCGGACGTCTAGCACTCTAATCCTCTCCAACAAAGACTTCCCATGTTCTTTGTAGTTTGGTTTTCTTGCTCTGTTTCTGGGCTTTCCTCCTCACCTATACCTATTGCTGCTTAGACAGGTTCCTCTCAGGAGAATCAGCCGTCTTGCAGATTTTAGTATCTCTGGCCAGATCTAATTGTCAAGTGTACAAGACCTCAGTAGCGTCCTCTAACACGCCCTATGCTCGCGCATGCACCCGAAATCCTCATGTTCAGATGTGCGTTTGTGAACTAAGTCGTTCGATGCATATCATACGAGGCTAATCTATGGAGTCTCTTCTCAGATCTCTGCTGCAAGGGTGCAGTCCCAAGGAACTGAGAGTTAATCGAATATACTTTGGAATTTCCACTCGCGTTCAAGACTT